AAAAATTAAAACTCGGTCTAAAAAAATCTTTGGTCTATTGGCTTTATACATTTGTAGTTTTTTAAATTCTAACGTCAAATTCGAGAGAGCACTGCATATTTTAATAGGCGTCTGAAAATGTAATATTTTTTGGTATTTCTTCTTTTTCTGCGAAAGGGGTAGGATGTTAAAAACAATATTTTGTGGGTATGCACTAGTGACCATAGAGTACCTAAAATTGGAAAAAAGTTGGGTCATTCCATTTAAAAAAAAAATAAGTGATTTGCCTAATTTACTATTGGGCCACCCTGTACACAAGAAAATAATTTTGGGATATTTGGTTTTGACCACCATTGACAGGTATACTTCGAATAAATCGTTAAGATTTGCATAATAGGAGTTATAGAACTACGACAGAGGTTTGGCCAACCCTGTATACATAAACGCTGTTGCTAGGTACATGCTAAAGTGTACACAAATCAAAAAATTATATACACGTGAAACGTCATATTGCTGTGGTGGGAGGTGTTTGTGTGAATGCGTCTTGTTTGTTTTCATTTACGCCGTGACTAGCAGTAGTATTTTATAAACCTTAGAAGCAAATTTCACATACATGAAAAATAATAATAATGCCGTGACAACAAGAAAACGAAGCAACGACTTCTCGTAGGGTGGCGGCGAAGCCGCCACCAGAAAATTTCAATCCATACCTAGCTACGCCGATCGGCATAAACACAAACACCTACTCTGTCAAGACGTTTCGCGTGTATATAACTTTTTGAATTGCGTACAAGTTAGCGTGTACCTAGACACTGTAATACATAAAACCTTAGCGTCCGACTATGAAGACTAGAGATAAGGAGGCGAATCGGATGCTCAAAATACGGTCCCAAAAATCACACGTCAATTAAGCTTTTATAATTAACCGCATGGGCGCTGGTACGGTTTACGTAGTTCAAAATAAATGGCTTTCTTATGGGAGTTATACATAAGTTTGTCAAAAATAATAAAAATAAACTTGTTTATTTCTCAGAATTTTTTTAAATGCGAATTTCACTTTGACATAGGTTATTTTTAGTTTTTAAATAAGCAGAGGCAATTGCCCTACGACGTTTTTTTGCAATCAGAATCCATATGGATCTAATTTTATGGCACACCCTGTATTTTATCGAAAAGATAATATATCTAAAATTCATTAGATCGAAAGGACAAGATATCGAAAATCAATAACTCTGTCATGAAATAGCACTAAATGAAATAGCGTTTATCAAAAGGACGCCTGAACATAATAGCGCTCATTAAAATAGCGTCAGTCAAAACAGTGGCTGATAAAAACAGCGCCTGGAGCCAGCACGGGGTGCTCCGCAATTTTTTATTACATAAATTAAAAAAAACTTAACCAATGTACCTAACCTGTGCGTCCTGGAGCTATCACAGATTGCTTCGCATTTTTTTTTACATAAAATTATAAGAGAAATTTAATTTACCTAACCTGTGCAATATGGAGCCATCGCGGGTTGCTTCACACAAAACGAATAAATATAATGAAAGAAATTAAAAAAAAAACATTTAATTAATTTACATAACCCTAGTGACCTGGAGTCATTGCGGGTTGGAGCATTTTTTTTACCTAAAATTATTAAAAAGATTAATTTTCTTAACCTGTGTGACCTAGAGCCATCGTAGTACAGAAAATGTGAGAAATTAAAAAAAAAACACTAATTTACCTAACCTATGAGGCCTGGTGCTTCCGAAGATTGCTTTGTCAAACAACGTATATAAAAAATAGGAATAATAAAAACAATTTTACTAATTTACCCAATTTGTGTCATTTAAATTTTTTTTCATTCACGCATATTTGGTTTTTCGATTAATTGCTTTTTCTATCAAATCTATTTTCGATCATTTTTCATTTTGATCTTTCTTCGTTTTGGTAATTTTCCTTTTCAATCAATTGCTATTCGATGTATTGTTTTTTTGATCAATTGCATTCGATCAAATGTATTCGATTAAAAGTTTTTGATCAATTTTGTGCCACTTAAAATAGATAACATCCATGGGATGAAGAAAAAAGATTACATAACGAAATAGTAGTTTGTGCAACAAGAGTGGATATGATGGCCATATCGCACGAAGACAAAGTTTGAGTATGACGCCGTAGACGGAGTGCTCAAATCGTCTAAGTGCGATATGGACAGTCCACTCGAGTTGTACAGTATATTTTTCTACGACCTACAAACGAAAATCTACAAATTTTAAAATTTATTAAGACAAAATAACTAATTTTAAAATAATTTATGAATTTTAATCATTTATAAAAAAAAAACATGAAAAAAAAGATTAATTTATTTAGTCCCCAGCTAGGATTCGATCCCGGACTTTTCGAATGGAACGTAGAAGTTCTGTTCTTTTTCAATTTTAGTTTTAATACTCGTAAGTAAATTAGTTTCATATAGTTTGATTAAAATTTATATTTTCAAATAAAAATAAAAATGCTATTATTTATCGATTCTACACAAAGATAGCTCATTTTAATGTATATTTAATCTCAATTGTCACTCATTTAGAATTTTAAAAATAATAGTAATTGGGTGTCCCAAATATGAACTGTGATTGGTGAATTTTATTTTTTGCAGTTTTTTCACTACCTAGAATGGATATAAAATATATTCGTTTAGTTGAACGCAATAGCATACTTTTTCGTTTTGTAGTCAAAGCGTAGATTAGCTAATATCCATGTGGGTGTAGAAAAAAGTAGTTGCGTTCTACTGAACGAATATAATTTCATATTCATTCTAACTGTACAGATATGAAATCCACCAATCACAGTTTATTTTTGGTGACTGAGCTATTATTATTTTTTAGAGTATAAAATACGTGACATTTCTGTCAAACTAATTGCACAATTTAAAAAAATACATTTTTATATGGTAGGCAAAAACGCAATACACTGTATTTTCAAAAATATCTTTAAAGTACGTATTTTTTAAATTAATATAACTTTTATTTGAAACTTATTTGCGTGTCTTTAACACAAATTGAAATATTGAACAATTGTGCACTAATGGGACACCCTGTATATTAAAAAATGAGTGTTTTTGTAAAGAATCAAAAAATAATAGCATTCCACAAAATATTTGTCTGTATTTATAAGTAAATCGTAAATTTTAATAAAATTATCTACATCTAATCTAAATATCAGTATAAAAAAGTTTGTCTCGTTAGCGCAGAGATAGCGTACTGAATTCCCATGCGAAAAGTCCGGGGTTCAAATCCATGAAGACTAAATATATTTTTTTTAAGTTTATATAATTTTATAAATGAATAAAGGTAATAAATTATTTTTAAAATGTAGATTTTCGTTAGTGGGTCGTAGAAAAAATATACTGTACAACGCGAGTGAATTGTCTCTATCGCACTCAGGTGATTGAGTACTTCGTCTACCGCGTCAACTTCATATTCGTACGATATGGCCATCATATCCACTATTGTTGCACAAACCACTCTTCTTGACCGTAACTAAAACTTTCTTGACATTAACAGTCATTAGAAAGCTAGTAAGTAGTACGAAAAGTATATTTTATAACTAGTGGCGTAGCCAGTCTTGCGGGGCGGGGGGGCGTATATTTAAAGGGGCGCAACATACATTTTTATTTGCCAGAAAAAACGTAACACCCTATATATCCTAAAATATTTTCAAAATATGTTTTGTTTAAATACATATAACTTTTAATTTAATGTTGTTTGTGTATCTATAATACAAATTGATTTATCGAGCAATTACGCACTAATGGGACACACTGTATAATATATCAATGTTCTCACGTAATTTATCACTATTTCCAATAGCATACGTATAATAATTATTGTTCATCGTAATTTCGAATTGTTTTCTTCCATTTTTTCGTTGTTCACTTCGGAATCGTATGCAAATCGATAAAACGTGATATTTTATCAAGAATTTTTTTTAAAACAAGAACGTATACATTTGTTTAAAGTGCATCAATTATTTTGCGACCTATTTTAGCGTATGCAAATATCTTAAACCCTTCCGAAATGTATACAAACCTTTTTTCGCGCATGTTTACCCAATATTTTTACATAATTGTTCCCAGTAATTACCAAAAAAATATGTTTAAAAAAATTACCGCAACGCTTGTGTACGCTGCGACTGTATGCAAAGTAGTTTTTCGTGATCTATTTAAAAACAAAAATAATGCTGTGAAAAAGCATATGTTTAATAATTATTCTTGAATACCTCTTTTTTACATGTTTAATTAACAATTTTGGGACGTACTATACAAAGGAGGTGTATGCAAAAAAGATTTGCATGCATTTACTAGTCGTTCAGAATTCCATTTTCAATATAAATTCAAATTTCCTTGGTAACGCCGTTGCATGCGAGCACTCTTAGATAATTGGCTAGAACATGTTAAAATCTATATTATTCATAACTTAAAAGATGCATGCATTAAAAACGTTGCACTTTCAATAATAATGTATATTATTGATTTTAAAACCAAAAAACAGTTTTTTTTTATTTGATTTCTTTTCGCAACTGATGACATAATGAATTTTTCGAAACCAGTTTCATAATGTTCAACATTATGTCACTGGTTACGTAAAATAGATCATTTTGACACTTGCTGCGATTATAAAAAATGTCACTTTATATGTCAAAATTAAAAAAAAATATTTGAGGCATTTCAAACAAATACGGTGTTGTTTTTTAAAACTATGTTAGTAAAATATTTTTCAATTTCAATAAATGTTACAGGGTGTAATGGGGGGCGGAAGGGACAAGAACTCCCCTGGCTACGCCACCACTGTTTATAACTGGTACAAGGATGTTACGCCTCTTAGACACTGTCTTTGAAAATTGAAAATAATTTGAAGCAATTTTCTAATGCCAGTTTTATTAAAAAAGGCTAATTTAGCTGCTACATTTTTCTCATACTTTTTCCCTTCCTTAAATAATGAATGTATCATTAATTTAACTACTGTTGATATAATTTGTTGGTCCTTTGTATATTGTATGTATGATCAGTAAAAAACACTATATTAATATTGTTATCTAAAAAGTGTAAACATTATTGGAGGTTCAAACACAACCATACATGGACAAGGAACTCCCGAAAACGGGGTCAATTTTAATCGGCATCCAATTTTTTTATCTTGTCCTTCGCCTACGCCAATGCTACAAAAGATATAGCTGCACATCATAATAATATTAATACATATCTATACAAAACGCTTTTGAATTATGAACTTTGATTCTTACAAACACAGAGGATAAGACTAGATAAATATTTTAGTAAAAAGCCGGTATCTGGTCGTATTCCAAACACTCTGTAAGTCCATTTCCTATTGGATACATCAAGTTTTTTATAGTTGTGCCCCATTGTTTCCACCCTTATATTAATAGTGCAAGTGTTTGTTTAATTTTATCGAAATAAAATATAAAGGTGAGTTATCAATAAATTTAAATTTAGTTTTAAAAAAAAATACTGTATCCTTATTGCAATCTAGGGTGGATAAATGGTCTTTTGATATTATTTATTTTACCTCATCAAATGCGCTTTAAACTCTGTTATTATATCATCAGTAAATAAACAGAAAAACATAATATTATACCGAAATGTCAGTCAGGGTTTCGTTAGTTAAGAGATAACGTGTTTACCCTTAATTCCATTATCCAACTACAACTTCGCCGTTTATTGCTTTTATTGATTTCAAGAGAGCATTTAATTCAGCACATCATAATCTACTGGGGTAAAAATTGTATAATTTCTCAATGCTTCCTTTATAAACGCCATATGAAGTTTATACAATTCTACTTCATTTAGAGTAAAAGTGAACGATGAACGCTCTAAATTATTTACTATTTTATCCACTGCATTTCTGCAAGGTGAGGTCCTTCTTTAATTTCTTTTGACATTCTTTTATTGTTATAATTGCTGATGATTTGGTTATTTGAGCAGAATGTGAAATTGATTTTGCTAAAAAAATTACATAGGGGAATATCTACTTGCAAATCTTATTGAAATCCACATCTGAGTCTATTATTATGTATTTTTTGAAAAGTGGTTTTAAATTATCATGTAGAAATACTCAATAAATATTCATATTTCATCTTCTTCTTTTTAGAGAAATGAAAAATGTTTCGGTATCCAAAGCTAAACAAGCTATAAGTGCCGTTTTTTCAATATTGATCATATCCAGTATCGAATCATGGGCTATAAGAAAAAAATATGTATAACTCTAGAAACAATAAAATTGAATTGAATTCAATTGAATATCATCAGTATTGTCCACTTTTAATTCATCTTCTTTATAATAATTCTCTAAAATAACTGGCAAACCTTTTTTACTGAGATGTTGCTCTTTTCTTAGCTCCGATGGTCTTATGTTCGTTATAAAATTTCTTCATTGGCCCTCAATAGAAATTCATTCAAGAATAACATAAGGTATAATATAGTACGAGGTGCCTCTAGCTATGCAGAAGAAGCATTTTATCCCAAAAACGCATTGTTAGATTTATCTCTCGGGTTCCACCAAACCAATATTGTCGCATGTTATACAGTGCGTCCAATTAAGTCGGTAGCATATGGGAAACTTTTTTATTTTTAGTTTTATGAAAAAAAAAATGGTACGAAGGGATCATGTCTTTATTTTCAATTATTGGTTTTAGTCGTTTTAGTAGTAGCTTAGATATTATTGGTAAAAATGATGACACTACATTCAGAGGTTTTCCTGGCGTAAGAATTAGGATAACCTCAGCCATTTTTCACGCATCTGGTATAGGTATATTTAAGGCGAAATGCTGTATATATAAGGTATGTCAATTTAACAATAGCCTTCTGTGGAAGTGTCTTCAATATTTCTCCAGTGGGACTTTCTGTGGGTTGATGTTTATCTGAATTTCTTTCGCAACTTCAATGGGAGTAACTAGCCTAATTTCAAGTTGTTACATAATATGGATCGTCTCGCTAGGAGTGTCTGGATTTTCACCTAAATGGAACGTTTTTTGTAGGTGGTTAGCTAAAATATCAGCTTTCTGTTGTTTTTTGCCGACTTATTAACTGCTATTCTGATAGAAGGATAGTGTTTACACAAATTTTGTATCTTTTTAGTTGCCATTCAGAGTGAATAATCAGTTTCTTTATCATCTGTTAGCCCTACTAGATATCTGTTAAAGGATTCTGCTTTGTCATTTAGGATTTCTCTTCTGTCTTTGGGTAACTTAGGATTACTGTAGATTGGTCTGAATCCTTATCAAAGTTTTCTTCTACTTGTGTATAGTTTGATGAAATTTTCCTCAGAATATAGAAATCCGAAAGGCCTGGAATCTTATTTGGTTTGGAGTGCCAATGGGCGGCTTTTTCAGAAGATTGGTATGTACAACCAAGTTCTGATGCAGCTCGGTGCAATTCTTTTTCTTTGACTGTGGTTAATTTTGAACCTCAGATTGTAAATTTTTTATCTAGTTTTTTTGAGTACCTACATTGAGATAATTTTATTTTTTTTTGTTTTGTCTTGGTGAACATATATTGCAACTATTGTAATTTTGTCTTCCTTAGTGTAAATAGTGTTAATGGTTACGGGATTTTCTGGTTCTTGGATGCTTGGTTTCTCATAGCGAGAAATGTTATTTTTAATAATAAACCCATTTCCTCCTCTTACTGCATTTGATGGGTGGATAGTGTGATAGGAATATCATCTAAATTTAATGTGACTCCGTTGTAAGGTGTATCTCAGAAATAGGTCATATATCTATTTTTTGTACGTCCAAGAAAACTTGGATATCAGTTTGTTTTTGGAGAATACCATTGGCATTCCAAGTGGCTATTTTAATATATCTTCTGTTCATTGGTAGTTTTGTTATATATTTGGGGTTTATTTAATTCTTTTAGCTTCCGGGGCCTGTCAGAGACTGATAATAATAATTCATGATGAGTACTTTCTGTTAGAGTGGCTGATTTGTGGTGTGGGATTCATCCCTGGTTTTGACCTTTGAATTATTGCTCCTGTGAGTTTGTTACCTGAGAATATGTAATTTCATTTCTGTCAGTAGAAAGAGTGTTTATGGATCGTCTCTACCTTGTCATTATTTTAGGCTTAGTGGTGTTATACTTTCTTATATGGTTTTAGCTACCTCACATTTTCTATAGTTAGCAGAATGTTCCATTAGGCTTAATTTCATAGGAATATCAATTTATTCAAGGTTCATATGACATTTTTAAAGACTTCTTCTTGTTTAAAATTAATTTTAAATTTGTTATAAATTGGTAATAATGATTTTCAATAATATAATACCAGACAAAACATAAGGTTTCAACATCAAGCTTCCCACTGCTTCTCTATACGGGATCTCACTTCCAAGTAAACTGCTTTCTTCTAGATCATGACCGATACAGAGTGTAACAACTGAGTTCGACTCTTGCATATTAATTTTTTTTAACATTTTCTTTATATAAGAAGTTTGACTCAAAAAAATTTCACCATTTTTTAGTTCTAGATAGTTGTCAAGAGCACCTACAGTTACTTTAAATTCGGTACTAAGTACCTCCAAAAAAGAATCTATTTCTTCACTCTTTTCTCCAGCGAGCAATCCATCGTCTACATATATAGAATCAACAATTTCCAATTATTTTTAATGCTGATAAATAGACATGGACCTGCAGTTCTTACTTTTAGATCTTATTTCTTTAAAAATTTCACAAATCTTTGATTCCAGCACCTCGGGGGCTTGCTTTAGTCCATATAGACTCCTATTTAATCTACACACTCTTCCGGTGCCATCGTCAAAACCCTCAGATTGTTTCATGAAAACTTCCTCCTGAAGTTTACCATAGAGCAATGCAGTCTTGACATCGAATTGAGGAAGATGTAATTTCTCTGATGCCGAAATACTTAAGACTACTCTGACAGTGTCGAAACGAGCAACAGGACTAAAAGTTTCTTCGTAATCAATTCCTGCTTTCTGACTATAGCCCTTAGCTACCAGCCTAGCTTTGTACCTATCAATGCTAACATCTAATTTTCTTTTAATGCGTAGAACCCATCGATTCGATACGAGCTTGAGTCCTAATGGCAAGTCAACTAGAGTCCACGTGTTGTTTTCAATTAATGATTGCATTTCATCGTTCATAGTTTGTTTCCAGTTTTCAGCGCCGTCAGAACTTATTGCATCCTCATAGGACTCTGGTGTATCGTCACTTTCTGCCAAAAGTACATAAGACGGTTTTCGACTTTCACGCTTACTTTTTCTCAATGACACTGCATCTGCATCTACTAAATTCTTCTTCTGTCGATTCTTGTTCTTCATCTTCAAAACTATTTAAATTAATTCTTTCTATATCCGAGTTTGATTCATTATTGACATTGTCTCTAAATAAAAATTCTACGGAACGATTTCTTTAGTGTTCAAGAGATAACTCTTTCTGTTTAGAGATGTCTTCAGATTGAAAAATCAAATCTCTACTTGTAATTACTTTGTTTTTATCATGAAGCCAGACTCTATAGCCATCTTTCTCTCCACAACAGCCAACAAAATGACCTTTAACACTTTTATATCCCATTTTTGTCGTGTTTTTATCGGAATATGAACATAACAAGGTGTACCAAACACTTTTAAGTGGTCAATAGGTACTATTTTACTTCTCCATAGTTCTAGTGGTGATTTTTTGATGACTGATGTAGGACCCGTTCTGTTAAGAATGTGTACAGCCGTATTAACTGCTTCAGTCCATAAATTAACTGGTAAATCTTTTGAGCAAATCATGGATCTGGCACTCTCCACTAAGGTTCGGTTTTCCCTCTCAGCCAGGCCATTTTGTTCTGGTGTATACGGCATTGACAAGCGAAAACTTATACCTTTATTTTGGAGAATTGTTTTCACATCAACATTATCGAATTCCTTTCCTCCGTCACTAAGAAATTCGATGATTTTAACATCTGCGGCTGTGGGTTCATTAATAAAAGTCTGCAAAGAAGATGCAACTTCGGACTTTGATTTAATAAAAAATACTCGACGAAATTTTGAATATTCGTCTGTAAAACAGACAAAGTATTTCGCACCAGCCAGGGAAATTTCTTCCATCGGCCCATATACGTCACCATGAATGATCTCTCCTGGCTTAGTAGGTCTGTGTTTGCGGGACTTAAATGATTGTCTATGTTGTTTTTCAAAAATACAACCTTTGCATAACTTATTCTTTACATCGTCGACTGCCCCTATGCCATGTACTTTAAGATATCTTTAACATGTTTAATATTTTGGTGACATAATCTTTCATGCCATAACTGCAAAGTCTCAAGAGATGTAGATATGTATACATAGCAGGAATTTCGGGTACACATACTTTCATATTTAAAACATAAAGTCCTTTTAAATTTCTTTTACCGGTTAACCGTGTATCACCATTTTTCGTGATGACACAACCGTCTTTATCGGCTTTAAAGT